AATTTGATCTGAATGTCTCTAGCTTTGAAATACCATGGGCCAGTTTTCGATTTAGTAAAATTACCTTTAAACTGTATAATCTTCGCAAATTCAAGAAAGTTGGTAGCTGATAAAAATATCATTTCAGCGCAATTACAATACATTTCACTGCAACCCTTAGCTTCCGATACTTTTGTACGAGAATAGCTAAATTTGAAACATCCCGTGGATGAGTTTCAGTCTTCGAACAGGTATGCATTTCTGCTAGTGTATTCTTAGATAATTCACTTCATATCCGCCAGAAGATACTGAAAAGACCATTCACAAAACGTCGAGTTTGCGTTGTGATCAAAGATCGAAGTTGAAGAAGGCAGCAAAAGAAAGCAATGGGAAAACAAAGAATACGGTTATCATCAAAACTACTTTGCTAGAAATTATAATTTTTCCCACTCGATTTTCGACTCACTTTCTTCTTCTCATATGCATCTGCTGATTGTGAACGATCAAACTGCACTCATCTCCGAAAACCATATTGCATTCGTTGCACATGAGACGACCAACCTCCTGAGATATCATTAAGATGGAACTACAAAGCTTGCGAATTAATCGAATACCTCAGGCCCATAGCGTGCCAGTAACTTGAGTTTAAGATCGTCATTCTTTTTATGAGCGCGTAAATGGCTTTCCATAGCAGCAGGGCTGTCGGCATCAACAAGAATTCCGCACAGACTGCACGCTTTGAACCGGCGCTCACCTCCATCTCCACCTTCTACTGTATCAGCGGTGATAGTCTCTGGGGAGTCAGCGCATACTTAAAAATAGTTCTTACTTAAGCCAATCAAACAATGCAGAGTAATAAATCAAGAGAGATGTGAAAGGTGAAGAAACAACTGGTATGGAAAAGCTTATTTTCCACTTTTATTTTGACAAAAGTATGGAGGTTTATTCGTAAATTTTGCGATATTCATGGCTTGGTTTCCAAACATACCAGGAAACGTGCCAAGAGTTCCATTCGAAACCTGTTCAATGGCATGCCTAGTGATAGTTTCCTGTCGAAGTCGCGCCGCATAGACGCGCTCTCGTCGTCTCGCAAGTTCCTCTTCTCGTCGTCGCCATTCAGCACTAATTGCTTCGATATGTTCAAGGATCTAGAAGGTGATGTCGTATATATATATATACATATATATACATATAT